AGTCAAATACGCAAACAGAGTACCAGTCCGATTGAATCGACTCCCTGAGTAGGTAGCAGTGAAAGTGGGAAATGGAGATGAACATGAATTGACATAGCGGACGGATGTGGCTAATATTTGAGACAGTCAAGCAAAATCAATCCAATTCTTTGTCAATTTATCTACTTTGGTTAATATCCGCGAAGTGAGGTGTGGTGTGGTTCTTGATAGTAAGTCGCACAATAGTGAGGGTGTAAAATTGCGTGCAAAGTTAGGTGCAGGGCATAGAGAAGAAAGTGCCAACAATAACATGGAAATGTTTATTTTAAAGTTGAAGTCTAATTAACGAGACCATCAAGTCTAACTCACCTTTGGACAAAGAAGTATAGAGTTTTAAACCGTGTCATTCACCTTGTAATATGGGCCAATGCTGAATGAATTCCTGCTGTCCTAGTTCTCCAAGACGAATCGTCATAACTTCCATAGAAAGCACTGACTGGCTGCCTGACTGATTGACGGACTCACTGCTGTGGTGCCAATCCTCTTGATCACCCCATTCGTAGCGAGGCACCACTAAATAGTGCATCCAACTCCGAATTGATCAATGTGGGGGAATGCAATTTGTGGCAGTAAGAATATGCACACTCGTGAATGGATTTATTTCCACTACAGCAGGGTAATGAGGAGTCGATTAGGATGAATATCGCTACGATGATATTCGGAAAATAGCACTAAAAGAATTCGCTGGGACGCATGAATACCAAGTATACTTCACTTCTGCACGTACTGTCATTGCGTGTGCACTCTGAACCGTCTTTGGCTTCAGAGTTAGTCTGCCTGTCATCACGTCAACTTCAAGGAATTCTGCTTGGTCAACGGCTGAACTCTCAACGGTCATGTAAAGCTGTTGCAGGTCCTTGTAAAGTGCCCACTGAGTTGCTGGCCATTCTAGATATTGCTAATTCACAACGGGATAATGCGTTTAATACACATTTAAAGTTATCAAATGAATTAATATTGGGTGTACAAGAAAGAAGTTGTTTATGTGTGAAAGGGGATGAGCCAACACCCACCTGACGGTCGACATTCCTCCTGTAAGACGGGAACTAATTTGGGAGACAGAGGGAATTTCTGCCTTTTTCTGATTTTACTTAATTCAGTTATTTTGCTATTTCACATCAATAGACGAACATTACTCAAAGCAAAAAGACACTAAAAAGTGGTGAACATCATGAACGACAAGTTGATTTCTCATTATGGACGACGTTAACTAGGCTTCTGCAAGTACAGATCACCCGAGTGCTTATTCGATTCCATTACTTGAACCTCATAAGCTCACCGTGACATACTGGAGTCACCAATTGAGAAACTTTCACATCACTAGTTGTGCGCAACAACACTCATGCGCATTCTTGATCACAGTGCCAACGAATGACTTCCAAAATTGCAACAAAAGAACCACCATCTTAATCCATGTTCTCGTTTCCGCTTCCAGTCGAGTCAGCTCACCACGTGTTCAATTCAATCCATCCTTTGTTACGCTTCCAATGAATACCATCTTATCACTCGCCTATTTATGACCAACTACAGATGTTCTCATCCATGTTGCCAAGAGGAAAGAAGTGGAAGTAAATGCCAAAGTCCAACACACATGTAAGCTGTC